TTAGTACATATAAATATTATTTATTTATTAGAAAATTTAATATCTCACGTTGATGTTCATCTAATTTCCCAAAAATATCAAATAGTAATACTTCCTGACGGCAAAAGGATAAATTATAAAATCAAATTAAAGATGATTGATTGAAGGATAAATGATAAAATGTTATAATTATTATTTTCCTTTACATTATTAATGTTCGTTCCTACGTAATCTTGTATCTAAGATAAAATAGTGTTTTAATTTTAATGACTGATAGATTGTAAGTATTGTTTTATAAATTATGTGATATTAAATTTCCGCGCGAAGCGCAGATAATTTTACTAGTATATGATAAAGTTCAACCATTTTTACCAGAATTTCAGTCATGAAATTTTAGACACTATGTCTGAAGTTTGATTTTGTCTAGTCTAACTTCAGACATGGCATGTCTGAAATGGTATATGTGCAAAAATTTTAAAAAGATGAGTACAAGTTAAATGACGGTATCAAAACACCCGCTCCATGATGTTTTTACTATTGTGTTTGTGGAGATAGGTACATGGGTAGTTCAGAGAGGAAATTCTGAATCGTGCACGCACTCCCTCCACAATATAAAATAACCCTAGCATTCAAATCGAACACAAAAGGTGAATTGCCAACAAAGGAAGAAATCAAAAGCCATCAAAGCAGATGGATGTTGTTGATGAGGTGAGTTCTTTTGTTAACCACATTTTTGTTGTTTGGCTAAACGGTGTATAATTCCTATGCTTAATTTTACTTTAATTGTTAAAAATGTGCTGGACCTAGTGGGAAAATTTAAGTGCGCATTGCTATGGTATTTGAGCCAGGGGTCTACCGAAAATCACCTCTCCCTTTCTGAGGTAGGGGTAATGTCTGCATACATTGTTCCCTCCTAGACTTCACTTTGTGGGACTACACTGAGTATGTTGTTTGTTGTCATTGCTATAGTATTTGGTGGTAATAGAAAGTCAAATTTATAGTCCCTTTTATTCAGACACCAGTTGATATATTCAGTGAGTTATTTTGTCAAACATGATGGGAATGCTTAAAGGTACTTGGCTTATCTGTCCCTTCCTCTACTTGAAAGTATAAATTTTATTAGTAATTGTTTGTAAGTAGTAGATAGAAGAAATCAAAAGTTTTATCTTCTTAAATCTCTTGGTTGAAATGTCTAATATTCAAATACTATGATCACTCTTTGTTGTCCTGTCTTTGTCCGTGTTGTCACTTCTCAGAGGAAATACTTGCTGATATACTCCGGAAATTACCTGTGCGGTCTCGTCTTTTTTTCAAATGTATCACAAAATTTTGGAAAACATTGATCTTCAAGCCTTACTTTAAGATGAAGCATCTCAAATATGCTAAGAATGACCAAAATTCCCAAAAATTTCTTATTTGTCAGAAGTGCCACAAGGATTGTATATTTTCAATCAATTATTGTCTTTTATTGTCGGTTCAACTGGTTGATGATGTACAGAAAATTGATTGCCCTTCAAACTCTAAACCAGGGTTTTGCGCAATCAATTGATTTTGCAATGGCTTGACTATTATCACGGTTTGTGATAATAATTTGGATTTCGACGCACCCAACCTATCGCTATGTAATCTCTCCACAAGAGAATCAAAAGTGCCTCCACATCCATGATTTCGCCTGGAGGAATTTTGGGATTGCTTTATGACTCAATTAGTGGCAACTATAAGATCCTTATTATTCACGATGTCAAATATAGTGGTGAATTAGATGATTACCAACTACCTAATGAAATTCTCACACTGAAAAGTGCTCTCGGGAGAGAAACTGATACACATCCCTGTGGCATTAAGAATGTGTTGTCTGGTATGCATTCTTTGGCATTTCAAAACAAATTATTTTGTGGTTTCATTTAGTATTTCAAATTAAGTGAACAGAGAAATATTGTTGTCTGATTTTTTCATTATCATGTTACAACCTCTTGATTCTTATTAGGTTATCTTTTGATCGCTGATTTTTTGGTTTCAATTACTAAAGCTGTCAGATTGCTTTTTTCATGTACCCAGAGAGAAACAGCATGAGCTTTTTATTTGCTAAGAAAAGAAGTGGTTAAACCCCCTTCTCCTTTACCAATTATTCTTTGTCTAGTCTTATATACTGATTGTTTCGAGTAATGCACTGTTTATTCTTAGTTCAGCGGAATGGCCTCATAGCTGGATTGATAATTACTCTGAATTAATCAATTCAAAATTTGCTGATTAGAGCTGTTTACAATTGCAATATCATAAAGGACTGGTCTTTTGGGCCGTGAGGTGGGCTCAAGTGCAATCCCACAATTGAGATCTGAGGAGGGTAAGATGTACGGAGACATTACCCTCCTTTACCTTTGTGGGATAGAAAGGCTGTTTCGATAGACCCTCGGCTCAAAATTGTATTGCATCGCATGTTTGAAATTTCATACAACTTAACAAGGAACTGCAAGTTATCAGCAGCAGAAACACACTTGTATGATCAGACAGTTCTTGCTTAAATACCTTAATCTGGCTTTATTCTTATACTGATTGGGCTGTACAATTTCCTCTTTGCTTAAAAAAGAAATGGGTGCTGATAGATCAAAGACCTACAAACCTGCCACCTAATCGATGAATTTTGTCCCTGTTATATGGCTTCAACACACTTGTCATTACGTTGTTACTAAAAGGTGGAGCATCGATGTTGCCCGTTTTCATTTCGTGGAATTCCTCAACAGAGGAAAGGCGCATTCTGCTTCCATTTGGCCTGGAAGAGATTCACATAGAGAATATTAGTCCAAATGAAATATTATTATACTCCTCGTTGGCACAGAAAATATGATTAATATTGTGAACAAATTTAAGTTTCTATTACGGAAGTGGATTTGTTTTCGTCTTTTGTTGAATTTTTTTCACAGCTCTACAGATAATTTGATAGGCCAAAGATATTTTTCATGTTTAAAAATACATTTAACTTACATATTAACTAATCGATTTCGATAAAATGAATCGAATTTTGCATGTTTTTTCTTTCTTCACTAACCCCGACCTGACATGAGCATGCAGGTTTTTTCTTTCTTCAGTAACCCCGACCTGACATGAGCATGAAACGGGTTCAAAATCGTATTTTTTAGTTTAATTTTGGAATAAATTTTCTGTGACTAATACTGTTGTAACACTAATTTTGTTTAGTGTAAAGGCTAAAACTCAAAAGCTTAAGTATTGTGTTTCTCCCTCTTGTTGCTTCCACATGTCACAAAGAAGTTGAAACGAAAACCCAGAGCTCAGCCTTTTGCTTGTGTTGGCAACAATGGCATTTGGCTTTTTCTACCTCCTTCTCTTTCTTCTTTTCTTGTTCTTTTACTCTTTACTCTATCCTTTTCCCTAACTGTCACTGCTTGTAGACAAAAGACCCAACTCAGCATTCTCTGGCTTTTTTCTGAAACTCAGTTTCTTCATAAGGCAACAAACTTTTGCTATTTTTGAGATCAGTCAGTACTAGTTACGTGCTTAGCTTGTTTTTCTTGAATTTCAAGTTCTTTTTGGCTGCTTGTTCTCTTTTCCAATCCTAAGCTATTTGATGTAAGTGTGATCACTTGATGTCTGCTCAATGCTGGTTCAATGTTCTGTATTTTTGTTCTTGTACATGGTTAATCTTTTTGGAAATCAGCAAACCCATTTCTCTTTTAAGTGTTTTTGTTCTAGTCACGTGCTTAGCTTGTTTTTCTTGAATTTTGGGTTCTTTTTTGCTGCTTGTAAGTGTGAGCACTTGATGTCTTCTCAATGCTGGTTCAATGTTGTGTGCTTTTATTCTTGTACATGATTAATCTTTGAAAATCGGCAAACCCTATTTCATTTTTCACTTGGGTTTGGGCCTCATTGTTGTTTTTCATTGTGAATTTGATCCTTGGTTGGTAATTCTTGAAAAAGTTTATCTGTTCTTAGTAGCTGAGCTGTTGAGAGTTTTCTGGAAGTAAGGTTGGTTTATCTTTGGATTAAGCAAAATTCTGTCTGTGTTTCATTTGGGGTTGTGGTTTGTTTATGTTTTTTCATTTTTTATATGATCATTAGGAGCTAATTGTTGGAAAAATCTGTTCTTTGTATCTGATGTTTTTTGTTCCAATCATTTATGTTTGTTTGATCGGGTCCTAAATTGTAACAGAACTTAGGAGGATTATGTTTGTTCATGATTATTTAGCCTAAACTGATTTGTTTAGAACTGGGCTATTTTTCGATTAATCCAAACTGTTTCTCTGTGGCATTAGGATGGATACAGATAGTCATGTATTTAGTTCGTGGGAAGAGCACGTTGTTTCTCAGGGGAAGTGTTGTCGTGTTGTGCACTACTACTTGAAGGATACCTCAGGGGAGTTAATCCTTGCTGTAGTGGGTACTGAAGGAAGCTCAAGGAACATGTTATATGTTGTCTCAGAGGATTATTTGGATACTTTTGGGCATACAAGTACCATAAATTCTGACACAAAGTGGCGTACAAGAAAAGGCGTAGTGGAATGGCTGACAGTTTTGATTTCAAAGCATCACCAATCACCACCTATTTCAAGTATGTATAATCATGTTGCAGTCTAAGATTTCAGTTACATGTGATTTGCAGTATTTATTGGCGTACATGTACATCAAATTCTCTCATTTCTAGTATTTAAGATTTGCTACAGTGCTTTGCTACACCCGATCAATCTAGAGACGGCAGATGTCTTGTGATCATGTCTAAAAGCAACTATGTTCAAGTTCTGCGAATGACCAAACTTTATCAAGTTGATGGGTTGATATCAGTCTCACTTTTTTTGAACTATTCATTCGCTACAGTGCTTTGCTAATCTAAGATGAAGATGAAAAATCCCTTTTTGATGAGTTTGTAGGTGAAAGAATCTTACGCTTTGACAGGAAAGAAACTAAATTATGTCGTGATTATTGTTTCCATAAAGAAACCTCCCTCCCATGAGTTTTTTTGGGGATAGAGCAGTGGGAGATGGTGAAAAGTTATTTCCAGTTCCATATTTATTTTGTGACTTTTGTTCCCGATTTCAGCTTTCCAGGCACAAGCTGAATTTTCAATTTAGTTGTGCAACTAGATTTTACCTAGAGTGGTGTACTGATGGTAGTTCTTTGTATCACAGAAATGGATAATCCTTGTTTGAAGAATAAATGAGAACTTATCCTCCTAAGTTATTACTTCAGTATGCTTTGTTTTTGCAAGGAAAGTATACTTTGTGTTCCTTGTTCTAACCACAGTCTCCTGTGTGTTGTTGTACTTATAAATGTGCAGCACACAGGTTTATGGTTTAGTATAATATTTTGAGTCATTCAATCCTAAAGCCTAAATTACAATGTGATTTGGACTCAACTGTTACATTTAATTGTTGAAACACATATAAAATATAATAATTATTTAATGCCATCTTAACCCAGGGGGGAGAGGGGGCCCTGAAGAGAGGCATCTTCACAGTGAAAACATGATACAATCATTTGAATGTAAAACTCCCCCCAAAAGTTAAGGGTTTCCCTTGGACAGCCCTTCACAATGCCATCTTAACCCAGGACAACCTGAGAAAAAGAGGCATTCCAGTGGTGAACATGTGTTTTATGTGCCAAAACAACTTAGAGATTGTAAACCACTTGCTACTGCATTACCTTGAGGCAGCTGACCTTTGACTATGTTTTTGGAATTTTTTGGAATTAGCTGGACAACCACCCTCAACCTAAAACGAGCATTTGAAAGTTGGAGTTCATGGAAAGTGACAAGAACATCAACACGATCTGGCAGATGATCCCAGCTTGCATTTTTTGGTATTTATGGACAGAAAGAAATAAAAGATGTAATGATTGATTTTAACTCCCAATTGCTCTCTTAGATCTTAGTGTTTGTTGAATCTTTATAGCTGGAGCAACCTTTCCCCTGTAAATGATATCATCCCCTTCTAAATTTCATCAGTTCCGTCTCAGTGAATTAGCAGCCTTGAACTTTTTTGCTTTCGGTTCTTAACCCCCAGCTCTTACTTGTTTTGTTTGCGCTGTTTGGAGTTATAACCATTTGATCTGTTATCTTTCATGCATCTCCTTGATGCCTTTTCAATACAACAACTTATATCATCAAAAGAAAAACTTAATATAGAACAATAGTTATGGCTAATCTTGTGACGTCTTAACATTATCTACCAGTATCTATTAAAGTTGCGCCATAACAGTGCAAAAAGACTTCACAAAATCCCAACCAAGCTTAGGCTATTTCTTCACAAGGATCCTATCATGACAACTAGTGATTCAGCCTCCTCAACATAGCTTTCTTTATACCAAAAATGAAACAAAAATACAATTCATCTTGACTTTCTGCACAAAATTGTATTTGTCTTCATCTACTTCCAAATGGTCCACCATATTCAAGTAAGGACAAGTTTCCACCAAATATTTTTGACTAACTGCCCTGTCATTCTGATTCCAACATTTCAATAAATCAACCCTTGTTGCTGGCATTGACTATCTGATTCCTACCATTTTCAAGAATAGTCACCATAATTTCCCAGTAACAGGACGATGAATGAATAAGTGACTGTTATTTTCCCTAGCAGCACAAAAAGTATCTAGAACACAGTTGAAATTCCCTTCTTTGAACTTTATCCTGTGAGAGGCAAGCATTTCTTTCTATGAGCCAAGAAAAGCACACCACCTAAAAAGGAACCTTCACAGGGTATTTTGTCCTGCCCTTGTTGAGAGGCTCTTCTGTACTCTCTTCACCAGGCAATAGACAAATAGTCATACATATTATAGGTTTCCTCACTATTATCAAGTTACAAAAATTACGAGATTAGCTCCACAGAGTATGGCCTAGTGGTAGCAATGAATTGTAAGATTTGTAATATTCAATGAAGATGAGGAGATTAAGGGTGAACGTTGTTCATTATGTTAGGATTAAATTATCCGATTAAATGATATTTGCTAGTCTTTTTCATTCTATACTTCTTACTATCTAACTAAGACGGCTGGACTACTATTGAATCTTTTAAATTTAAATTTATTCTCTATTATATAAACAATATTCATCAAGTTTGCTTTATTTTTGTTATCAAGAATAAAGAAATACATTTCCTATAGTCAAGCAAAAACGATGATCGTAAGGTATATCCTCCATCACGATCTCGGATGAAACTATCCATGGAATCGTGTTCCGTGTAAAATTTATATCATCTCTGTTCTTAACCAAGACTCATGTTAAGCTCCGTATCGGAACCTTGTGGTATTAGGAGTAAAGCATCCTGAGGTTGGCGCATCTCATTGAACATGGAGAAGCATTGGGAACCCTAATTTTTTTCTTCAAAATTGTTTCTTTTTCCGTCCCCTGTCCCGACATAGCGTTTCGCTTCCTGTTCTTCATTGATGTAGGTGATTATCAACATGTGTATGGAGACTAGAGAGAAAAATTGCTTTAATCAAATATACATTTTGTAAGTGAAACATGTAATAATCAGTTGGATTAGAAGCAATTGCTCATGGATCCAATACATCAATTTTTAAACTTAGAGTGCAGAGATACATTATTACCTAACACATTACACAACATACGGACCAAGAACCGGATGTACTCACATTACTTAATTGCTTGGACTTTTCAATTTCAGTGTTGCACCCATGTCGACATGGTATGGGTGTGGGCTAAGTTGCGTGGACTCTCCACTTTTGATGTTGCGCCCGTGTCAGATTCTTCAAAAATGCACAGGTTTTGGAGAAACCAACATGCACCCATTGATATTTTTGAAGAGTCCGAGTAGCATAGGGTGTGAGTGTGAGATCCGAATTGGTCAACTAATTTTGGATACTTTGAGTCAATAGAGAAATTTGGGATAGATATAATGATTTCTATAATCAAAACAAAAGCTAAGGTGAAATTGAATAAATTGAGTGTCTTGTATATAGAAATATCTATGTTAGTTTCTTTCCTTATATCTCCTTCTAGAATTTTCCTTTTGATCAATAAGTTTTTGTCATAACAACTTGTAAGATTTCCATGTAATGCCTTATAATTTGAATCTAAAACTCTACTTTTAGATATTTGAATTATTTTTGCCAAATTCCCGCACCGGTATCTGTACTTAGACCCATACCCCTAAATTTTAAAATTTAGATCATGAAGGATCCGATCTCTAGATTCGCACATGTATCGAACAACTGCACACAAGTCTGAACCACTTAGATGTTGGAGCGCAATTCTTATCGTTCTATTGGTGTTGTTATTATTCATATATAGCAGCCAACATAAAATTTTGCGCATTCTTACATTTTAAGTTTTGAATCATATTTTAATCAATATGAAATTGACACCTCACTAGGAAACTCCTTTTCTTTTGATGTCATTAACATCATCAGAGAAATTCTTTTTTTTTTTAGTAAGATGACATATTTTCTATCTTAAATAATTTAAAGAAGATTTATATGTGAGCTATTTTAAGAAGATCCACAGCAATCTTACTTCATGCTTCACAATTTGGTTTGTTCTCATGATTAAGAAGCTCCTAATGTCTAGGTTTTGGGCTGCAATTAATAGAAAGCTATAGTATAAACGGTAAAGGAGAATCCTAATAGGGAAAAGATACTATTTTTAATTCGCAATGTTATGAATCTATTAAAATTGTATGGGAACTCTGCGTATGTGAGTTTTCCCATACATCTCCGGTTCCAAACCCGGATAAACAAGAAGATCCAAAGAGGGTTTTACTAGGTGGAGGACCAGTTTAAAATTCATCTCAAATGAATCCTTTGGCTATTGGATTAAGGTTTGTATAAAGGTGAATTGATATATAGTATTCATATAGCTGATACAACTAGGTCATTTTCTTCTTTTCTTCGAGAAAAAGCATAAAAGAAGGGGGTAAGCTCATAAAACATGGTCTTATCTCTAGTTCATCTTATCTACTTGCCAGTGTCCATAAGCTTTTATTGTGGGGGCAGAGGGAAACTCCGACAGAGCCAGGATTTTAAGTTTGTGGGTTTGGGCTCTAGTCTTTTTAAGTTATTGGTTTCTAAATTAATAATTTGTACATATTCAATGAATATTTAAACGCAAATCTCGGATTTGAACCAAAGCTATTAGTCATGCCAAACCTGTAACCAAAATTTTAATTCTGCCCTTGGAGGGAGTTTCCATCCGTACTTAGACACTAGTAGGGCTAATACTATTTTAGTGGATGTTTTGGACATAAAAATGTGAAATTCGTAAAAAAAAAAAAAGTAGTATTTGATAAAAAGTTTTAAAGTGGTAATTAGAAATTGAGGTTGTATTTGGGACGTGAATACAACTTGGAAAAATGTTGAATTTTTATGAGTGGTTTGGAGTGAAAATGTGAAAACATGTACTCCCTCCGTCCCAATTTATGTGGCACTTTTCAGATTTCGAGATTCAAACAATTGTATCTTTGACCGTAAATTTTTCATATATCTTTTAATTATTTTGAATTGCCAATTATTGTGACTTATAGTACTTTTTACGTAGTTTACAAATATATAAATTTCATTTCAAAAAAACTGACGATTCTATGCACAAAGTTTAGGTCAAACTTAAATTGTTTGACTCTCAAAAAACGAAAAGTGCCACATAAATTGGGACAGAGGGAGTATATTCTAGCAATTCTTTGTCCAAACATGATTCCGGAATACAATTCCAAGAAAAAGTGAAAATTATTCATGGCCAAACAGGCCCTTAAAAGATTTGCACGGGACAATGTTTGAAAGAATTGCTTAAGGGGAAACTTCAAACTCTTAATTAGTTTAGGCGCTAACATTGCTTTTTACTGTTTTGATGAATATCTATCTTCCTGCAGCTGCTTCTTTCTTAATTCTGTGTGTGGTATGATGGAAAATGTTTTCCATTGAAGTATTAGATTACTAGTAAGGGTGGGACTATGTAATACTAGAATGCCCACCGAATTGTGTTATACAAAAACGCTCGCTTCCACGTGTTTGACTACACTTGTGGTAGACACAAAATAAATACAACCATTACTTAGTATCTTAGTATTCTCAATGGTGTGTCTAACCTTCTGAGTCCATCTTTCCTCTATATTCACTTTTAATAGTGTTTGCGGAGAGATTGAGGTAAAAGTTTTAACAATTGAAAAAGAGAAAAAAAAGAAATCGAGATAAGAGTTTCCTACTATACTATGCCATCCTTGTTTTCTCTGATAAAAGTCTGGAATGTATATCTTCTTTTTCCTAATACAGTTGATTTTAGCTCTTTGACATAAAAGGGAAAGGGTGTTTACAGTTCTCGGCCTTTGTTTAATCAGTTCTTGCTCTAGTTAATGGGCGAGATAACCGATAAAGAATGTATGGTGTTGATGCTATCCTCCTTTCTTTTTCTTGATAACATGTATATGTCTTTTCTGTGGGTATCACATAAAAGTTGATGGCATCCTTGCTCTAACGTGCAAGGGGGCAATCTCACCTCTTTTCAACTTCCATCCTAAATGAGAAAGGGGTTAAACGCAAGAAAATGATTCTTGAGGTGAAACGCTTCCTTGGGTAAAGAGAAGGTCAATTGGCCCTTAAGTTGGGTGGTGGGGGAAAGGGAGTTGAGGGTCTACCCAAAACAGTCTCTCTATCTCTGAGAGGTAGAGCTAAGGATGGTGTGGGATTACACTGGTATGTTGTTGTTGTTGCAATGGGGGTGTTTTATATAGCATTCAACGAATAATGAACTCATCCTTCTTAAAAAGGTAATAATAATGAGTCTGCCCTTTGCTTGTTATCTCATATAGAATTTCACTTGAACAATTTATTTTATATCTCGATATTGCAAAGATCTATTGTGTTGAATGTGTTGTATGCAGTTTAGATCTTCCTCTTTATCTTTTTCTTCCATTTTTCATTTTCCCCTTATGCATCTATATGTGATCCTTAATATAATGCATGTTCGGTAATCCTATTAATGTTGATGCATTTTTCAACGTCTTCTGTATGCTCTGCTCTTAATTGATGTTGGTGTATATGTTTTGTGTTGTGCTTTGATGTTCATGTAGATAACAATTAATTACTAGCCAATTATAGATCAGGATCATCTATACTAGACTTTGGTTTGATGTACTAAGTAAATGTTTTCATAATATTGTTGCCATATTTCAGCAATGAATTCCTTGTTCTTCTTGATGGTTATATGTGCATGAAGAATTAAAGCTTGTGTGCTCATAAAGATTAAGATTACACCTGATAGATGATCTACCCCATAGCCGACTATGGAATTGTAGGCCTTGAACGTCCTTGTTTTAAGCTGAATCCCCAGTAAATTGTCGTATAAGCTGCAAAGTTGCTTATGATTTTTGAGTTGTTGATGCTGTATAAAATTGGATCTCTGTAGAAAGAATGCTAAGCCTAGTAGTTATAAATTATTTTTATCTAACCTTTAATCTACTTCACCTTTTAGTAAAATAGACTTCCTTTATCTTGTAGATACCCCGAGAAGAGAAACGAGAAGAAGTGCTTTGATGGCTGGTCACATATCTGATGAGGTCTCACAAAATATAACCCGAGAAGATCCTTCAACGCAAGGACCTAGGGGGAGTAGAAGTGTCGGTGAGAGTGACCATTCTGGTATCAGAAAGTCAATTCCTGGTAACCAGATTGCACAAGCCAAACCACCAACATACCCAAGATTAAAAATAAAATATCCAAACATAGAACCGGTAGGAATTCAGCTTGTTGAGCCTCAATATAAGCTGTGTTTTGAAGTTGGTGACAACTTGGAGGTTCTTTGCAATGATAGTGGCATGAAAGGCTGCTGGCTCAGGTGTAAGGTCTTACAAGTCTCACAAAAACGTATGAAAGTCCAATATGATGACATCCAAGATTGTGATAGTCTTGAAAAGCTCGAGGTACCTTAATCAATGCAACTATAACTTAATTTTATATTCTATTACTTATGATCTACTTGCGTATATTGACTTGTCCGTTCTCCTTTCACCCTGTTTCCTCATCACCTTTGCTTGGTTTATAGGAATGGGTTCCTTCCTACAAAGTTGCAGGCTCTGATAAATTCGGCATGAGATGCACAGGACGCCTCACAGTTCGACCCCTGCCTCTGGAGGACTCTTCTGTCAAATCTTTTGAACTAGGAGCTGCAGTTGATGCTTGGTGGTCTAACGGATGGTGGGAAGGTGTTGTTGCTGGATTTGGTGTCTCTGGAAGCGGTGTCCTTCAGGTTTACTTCCCTGGTAAGAAATAACAGTCTCAAAAAACTAAAAAGTTAAAATAGAAACAGCAAACAAGAAATAAAAGGAGAATTCTTGAGAAAATGGTCAAAAGTCCCCCTAATCTATATCCGGATTTCCAACTTATTAGTTGATGCATAGCAACTTCGCGTAAGGATAACTCAACTGCCAATGGATGCAAAATTGGAGTCTCTTATTATTTTAATTTCTTAGTTGAACTCATGTCTAATCTCAGCATTGTCATAAATTGGCTTTCCAGCTCATCAGTGAAAAAAGTTCTGGCTAATTTGTTGTCCGTAAGTTTAAATGATCGATGCTGGTCATGGACTAATGCCCCAATGTGTTTTTTTATCTCAATAATAGGCGAGAACATATTATTGGAGATCCAAAGGAAGAATGTGCGGACTTCAAGAGAGTGGGTTGATGACAAATGGGTTGAAGTTGAGCGAAAGAAAGACATAAATTCGTTCATTAGCTCGAGTTTAACTTGTTTATCCAGCTGCAGTATCAATGAGCCGGGGAACTGCGAAAATCAGATGGCTCCCAGGCTTGTGGCGCCTGAAGACAACAAATTGGCTTCAACTTCCAAACACTCAGCGGAGAGGCAAGACACTAATGTGCTTAAACTGAAAAAACGATGGTATATTGATTTTCTTGCAGGTAACAAGAACTGATTTCAGACAATTGTATAAGCGATAATGCTATCGTGTAGCACTCGTCAGTCCTTCTTGATAATGGTGAAATACTTTTAACACTGTGGGTATAGTTTGACTCATAAGTAACTCTCACCGGTGCTTGATTTGCCTTTGTAAATGTATAGGTCTTTGACAACAAAAAATGGAAAAGGCATCTTATAGAGTTATAGGCAAGCACTCCTTTTTTTCCCCTCCTTAGGAGCTCCCACCTTTTCGCTCCCTTGGTGACTCGAACTCACAACCTCTTACCAAGTGCACTATTTTGGCTACCAAGTGCACTCTTTTGGTTAGTATGTACGTGTTTTATAAATTTGCCAAGAAGTTGGCATGTTCTTGTATTGTACACTCTCTCTTATCGGTTATGCATAAAAGTTGTAACTTTATAAAAGTATGTGTTTGCTTTGTTACTCTGACTCTCCAAAAATGTTGCCTCACCTGTTTGTTTGACTACTTTTCTTGAAAATCTATTACCACTTTTTTCATTTTAGAAGATGTGGAAAATGTTCTAACAGTTTATCAGCAGCAGAAACACACTAGTATTATCAGATAGTTCTTTGCTTACGTATGGCTTTATTCTCATACTGATTGAGCTGCACAATTTCCTCTTTGCTTAATAAGGAAATGGGTGCGGATAGATCAAAGATTCACAAATCTTGTTACCTCCTAATCGATGAGTTTTTTCCCTGTTTTGTTGCTTCAGCACAGTTGTTGTTACCTTGTTACTAAAAGGTGGTGCATACGGCGATGTAGCCCGTTTTCATTTCATGAAAGTCCTCGGCAGAGGAAAGGTGCAATCTGCTTCCGTTCGATCTGGCCAATCCGGAATAGATTCACATAGCGATTATTAGTCCAAATGAAATATTATTATATTCCTCGTTCGCATAGAAAATATGATTAATTTTGTGAACAAATTGAAGTTTTCTATTACAGATAGTGGATTTGTGTGTCTTTTGTTGAATTTTTTTCACAGCTCTTTAAGTGATTTGATAAGCCAATGATATTTATCTGTGTTTCAGAATATAGTTAACCAACATGTTATCTAATCAATCATGATAAATTGGACCTAATTTTGCAGGGTTCTTTTTTTCTGTACCTCGACGGGATCAACCTGATATGAGCGTGAAACAGATTCGAGATCGGACTTTTTAGTTTAATTTCGGAAAAAAGTGTCTGACAACTGTTGTAACACTAATTTTGTTAGTGTAAGGCTAAAACTCAAAAAGCTTCAGTTTTGTGTTTCTCCCTTTTGCTTCTCCCACATGTCACAAAGAAGTTCAAACAAAAGCCCAAAGCTCAACAACCTTCTGCTTGTGTTGGCACTTGGCAACAATTGCATTTGGACTTTTTCTTTTCTTGTTCTTTTACTCTTTACTCTATCCTTTTCCCTAACTGCTTGTAGAACAAAAAAAACAACTCAGCATTCTCTGGCTTTTTCCTCAAGCTCAGTTTCTCCATAAAGCAAACAAGCTTTTGATATTTTTGAGGTCACTAGTTACGTGCTTAGCTTTTTTTCTTGAATTCCAGGTTCTCTTTTGCTTCTTGTTTTCTTTCCCAACACTAAACTATTTGATGTAAGTGTGATCACTTGATGTCTGCTCAATGCTGGTTCAATATTCTGTGTTTTTGTTCTTGTTCATGGTTAATCTTTGGAAATCAGCAAAGCGATTTCATTTTTCACTGGGGATTGGGCTTCATTGTTGTTTTTCATTGTGAATTTTGTCCTTTGTTGGTAATTCTTGAAAATAAAATATTTGTTCTTTGTAGCTGAGTTATATTGAGAGTTTTCTGGAATTAAGGTTAGTTTATCTTTGGATTTTGCTAAATCCTGTCTGTTTCATTTAAAGTTGTGGTTTGATCTGTTTTTCATTGTTTATATGGTCATCAGGAGCTAATCGTTAGAAAAATCTCTTCTTTATATCTGATGCTCTTAATTACAATCATTTCTGTGTGTTCGACCGGGTCCTAAATTGTAGCAGAACTTAGGAGGATTATGTTTGCTCATTACTCTTCCTGTCCGTTCAAATTAGTAGCCATACTATTGCCCCTGTTGTTTCTTGTCCTTTGATTTTTGGATCTATCTGTTATTTCTTGTACTTCTTTTACTTCTTGTTATTTTTCCAAAATGATTGTTACCTAAAATGTTTGTTTATGTTTCTGGATGAGGGTGTTAAGAACTGGGCTGTTTTTGATTAATCCAAACTGTTTCTCTGTGGCATCAGGATGGATACAGATAATCATGTGTTTATATCGTGGGAAGAGCACGTTGTCTCTCAGGGGAAGGGCCGTCGTGTTGTGCACTACTACTTGAAGGATACCTCAGGGGAGTTAATCCTTGCTGTGGTGGGTACTGAAAGAAGTACAAGGCACATACTATATGTTGTCTCAGAGGATTATTTGGATGCTTTTGGGCATACTAGTACCGTAAATTCTGACACAAAGTGGCGTACAAGAAAAGAGGTAGAGGAATGGCTGACGTTTTTTATTTCAAAGCATCACCAATCACCACCTATTTCAGGTATGTATAAACATGTAGCAGTCTAAGATTTCAGTTACATGAGATTTGCAGTATTTATTGGCGTATATGTACATCAAATGCTCTCATTTCTAGTATTTAGCATTTGCTGAAGAAGTTGATCATAGATTTTTGGCTGCTTGTTACACCTGATCAATCTAGAGACAGCAAATGTCTTATGATCATGTCTAGAAGCAACAATGCTCCATGTTCTGTGAATGTCCTAACTTTATCAATTTGATGGTATAATAACCGTCTCACAGTTTGTGAAAGAAACTAATTATGTCGCCATTATTAGTTCTGTAAAGAAGCCTCCCTCCCGTGGGTTTTTTGGGGAGGGAGCAGTGGGAGAAGGTGAAAAGGTATTCCAGTTCCATTTTTATTTTGGGATTTTTATTCCCGACTTCAGTTTTCCAGGCACAAGCTGAATTTTCAATTTAGTTGTGCATCTGAATTTAACATCTTATGGTGTGCTGGTGGTAATTCTTTGTATCCCGGAGATGGATAATCCCTGTTTTGAAGAACAAATGAGAACTTAATCTCCTAAGTAATTACTTCACTATGCTTTTTTTTTGCAAGGGAAGTATACTTTTTGCTCCTTGTTCTAACCATAACCTGGGTGTTATTGTACTTTGGGCACAAGTTTGTATTTATCTCAACTTTCATCTACTTTACATTAAAGTGAATCTGACTTCCGTTATCTTGTAGATACCCCAAGAAGTGAAAAGAGAAGAAGTGCTTTAATGGCTGGGCACATATCTGATGAGGTCTCAAAAAATATAACCCGGGAAGATCCTTCAGCGCAAGGATCTAGCGGGAGTAGAAGTGTCGATGAGAGTAGCCATTCTGGTATCAGAAAGTCAATTCCTGGTAACCAGATAGCAAAATTCAAACCACCAACTTACCCGAAGTTGAAAATAAAATTTCCAAGCGTAAGACCGGCTGGAATTCAGCTTGTTGAGCCTCAAAATAAGTTGTCTTTTGAAGTCGATGACAACTTAGAGGTTCTTTGCAACGATAGTGGAATGAGAGGCTGCTGGTTCAGGTGTAAGGTCTTACAGGTATTGCAAAAACGTCTAAAAGTTCAATATGATGACATCCAGGATTGTGATGGTCCTGAAAAGCTCGAGGTACCTTAACCATTGTGACTATAATTTATGATCTACTTATTTACTTGTCCATTGTCCCTTCTTCCTAATCACCTCTCCTTGATTTATAGGAATGGATTCCTTCCTACAGAGTCGCAGTCTCTGATAAATTGGGCATGAGATGCACAGGACGCCTCACAGTTCGTCCCCGACCTCTGGTGGATTCTTCTGACTATTCTTTTGAAGTAGGAACTGCAGTTGATGCTTGGTGGTCTGACGGATGGTGGGAAGGTGTTGTTGCTGGATTTGATGTCTGTGGAAGCGCTCAGCTTCAGGTTTACTTCCCTGGTAAGTAATAACAGTCTCAAAAAACATAAAAAGTTGAAATAGTAATAGAAAACAAGGAATAAAATGAGAATTCTTGCTTCTGTCTAATTTTAAATGATCGATGTTGGTCATCGACTGATGCCCCTAGGTGTTTTTTTATCTCAATAATAGGCGAGAACATATTACTGGAGACTCAAAGGGAGAATGTGAGGACTTCAAGAGATTGGGTTGATGACAAATGGGTTGAAGTTGAGGGAAAGAAAGACATAAAGTCGCTCATAAGCTCGAGTTCAACTTATGTATCCACGTGCTGTATCAATGAGCCAGTGAACTGCGAAAATCAGATGCCTCCCAAGCTTGTGGCATCTGAAGACAACAAAATGGCGTCAACTTCTAAACACTCAGCGGAGAAGCAAGACACTGATGTGCTTAAACTGAAAAGGCGATGGTGTATTGATTTTCTTGCAGGTAACAAGAACTGATTTCAGACAATTCTACAAGTGATAACGCTGGCGTGTAGCTTCGATAGTATTGAAATGTTTTGTAAATGTATAGGCCTTTGATAACAAAACATGGAAAAGGCATTTCATAGAGACTTAGACAACCAGTCTTTTTTCTTACCCCTCTTTAGTCGCTCGCACCTTTTCGCTCCCTTGATGACTTGAATTCATAACCTCAGGGTTGAAAGTGGGCAGAGGGTGTTTATCATTCGAGCACACTCTTCTGGTTAGTATATGTATGTATTTTACAAATTCACCAAGAAGTTGGTATGCTCTTGTATTGTACTCTCTCGTATCGATTTAGAAGTTGAATTAGCTATTTAATTTAGTCTTAATTTAGATAAATGTGATTAAAACAAATAGTTATCTAAAAATATAATACAGTATACTTTCTATGCCTAACAATTTTTTTGGTACCATAAGATAAAATCCCAACAGTCTGACTCTCTACTAGAACTAGTTCTGAATCAATCTAAAAATTCATGTTTCTTGTAATACCATAGGATCACAAGGTGTTCTCATCTCATTCTATGTCAAATAAACTAATGGATTTCATAAACGACAAAAAAATGCAAGGCGGTAAAATTGGTCTCTACGTCTCAAATTATTGATTGTATTTCTCTTTTACACGTCTCTTAAACAGACACTAATTAAAGTGATGCACATGTGCAATGCGCGTATTCTAAACTAATTAAAAAATTAAAGTAATTGTCTTGTATATGATAACGTCCAACTCTGGTCTTAAAAAGAATAAACGTTCACTATAAATATATTATGTTTTCGAGTTCAGAATCAAGATCCCACGGAGAACTAACAATATTACTATTCAAAATATCACTAAATAGACAAGTTCAAACTAATTTTTGAATTATCAAGATTAAGATTTCTATTTAAAATTATTACCTAACTAATAAATATTAAAGCAGTAAAATTATCAACTAAAAAACAATTGTACACGTTTAGATTTTGTTGGCAACAAAAAGGTAATTAATTAGTATTTCCGAATCCAAATCCTCTTAGGAATCAAACTTTAGGAATTTAAATTCTTGTACGACGAATGGTAGGAATCCTAAATTATTTAGGATTTGTTATTTTTGGTAATTATTTAACTAATGTCTAGTTAGGATTTGTCTGTCCTTGCATCTATTATAAATAGGGATGTTGCTGGTTATTTTCAATCGAAAGAAGTAGAGAAACGTAGAGAACTCAAAGATGGAATTTGAAGAAAACTTTGTTGATGATGACTTTTTGAAGGGTAAATGTCTAATGAATAGTGAAGTAGCATTGATTCTTCAACACAAATATGAGAAAATGTGTGATGAACATTCAACTAATCAAGTATTTGAAAAGTCATTGCAATATGTGAAGCGTTTCAGTCAGAATAATAACCCTTATGCTGTTACACAAGTTCGTCACATTCTTAGTAGCTATCCTATTTCTGAAGTCGATCTATGTGTTCTTGGTAATCTTTGCCCTAAATCTGTTGAAGAAAGTATTGCCATGGTGCAACCTAAAGGACTTGCAAGACTTGACGACGAAGCAATAAAGAAAATACTAACGGAGCTTTCTCTATTAAAGAAATTTGATATGTAGTTTGCATATACTTTGATGCAAATTGGGCTATAGTAATGTAATGTATGGGGATCTTATATCAAATTTTATGTATTGTTTGAGAATTGATTAACCAAAGTTGTTGGCTTGCTTATTGATATAACTTAATTGGTTTGTAGAAAGATAATCCTTATATCTTTTTTATTTTAGTTATATGTAATTGATAAAATTCTACTAGACAACAAGGTCTTGGTTTTGTCATTGTTGTTTTACTACATTGCTATGGTTATTGTCACATTCGAATCAAAGTCTAGGTCAAGTTCTGAATCAATGTCAGGTTTCTAGTCGAGTTTTGGGTCTATTTTGTATTTGTTGTTTTTTATCTTAATAGACACGAAAAGAACTAAAATGACCATTGAAATAGAACAACAAAAGTATTTTTAATAAGCGAGATACATACATACATATTACATAAACCAAATTTATTGAGAAAAATCAGGTAACACCATATCGATCTTCACAAATTAACAACCATAATTATATTGGAGCTATGGAAAAATACAAGGTTTTCCCAAAACGCTTCAAAAATACTACTTAAAAAGATAAATCTACATATAACTCATGAGTGGCATACTTGGAACCATACAATATTATCACTCATTTATAATATCCAAATTAGGCAGCACCAATGGAGAAGGGGCAGGACCAAAATTATTAGGTGAAACATTATGATGAGTTGCATCACAATAACCTCTCAACATATTAGTTTCTTCAAGGGTGAAACCAAGTGTAGTAAGCATACTAGGCCAACAATGATGTGTGATGACAAAAATGGCTTGACAACAAGGCAAGTCAATATCAATTGTGCCAATTGTGAAGTAAGCAATTATCTCATTTGTGCATGATTTTATCTCAGCAAATGCACTAAAACACTCCATTATACTTCCTTGAGTACTTGATTCATCATGTCTTGCAAGGAATATTGGTATGTCTCTAGATGAATTAACATGGCTTAAATTTGTGATTGTTGAATAAGTTAACATGATTAAGAAGAAAGTGTAACATTTCAAAGCCATTGTTGAGAAAGAAAATTAGGATGAGACAAGTTGAAAGTTAATTAGGGGATTTTATAGGGGGTTTAGAGGGGGAGAGGAGGGGACTTATTTGAGTAAATGACATTTATTGCATGGAACTCAAAAGCCTTTGGGATGATTAAGACGTACAATAATGGGATTGTAAATTTGTAGTAAAGTGAACATTGAATGAGAAATTAATCTCATGTAAAGAGAGAGAGAGAGAGAAAGGGGTCACGAATATGTTAGCACTTCATTTTTTTTTATTCTATCACTCGGTGTCTGATATCCACATTAGAGTCTGGTTAATTTGAATTTGTGATGTGTAGGGATCTATTCGAGGGAAAGCGCATCCTATCAAAGATTTTTCCATACTTATGACTTGAACTCGAGACCCTTGATTAAGGAAAAAACAGTCTCATCCGCTGTACCATATCTTTTGATGTAATATGATAGCTCTTCGTGCAATTTAGTTGTGAAATGATACTATTATCAACGAATTGTAAATTATTATTTTTTTCTCATGTGATTAATCTAAACAACCGCTCACTGACCATTTAAATGGCATATAGTTACATTTTTGCGTAGCTCATAAAATTACTTTACATAATTTAGCCATCTCTAAGAACATATTCTTATTAATTTTTCTTTCATAAAACAACATCAAAAACGCCTTATTTCTACTTCTTTCCATCATGAAAAATTGGATAGACCACCAACTCGATCCACTTTCAATAGGACTGAATTTTTATTCCAAAAATCATTTGAATAATTCACCTTCGATCTCCATTTCAGTCGATTTATCAAAAATAATTATTTTGCTAATATTGTATATCATGTTTTTAAGAAAAAAAATATGAAAGTTTTATATATTACTATATACCGAATGTATATTATTATATATCGGATTGAGTTTTGGGTTAAAGATATATGGTATAAGTTTGGGTTGATTTAGGTAATTGTATTTTTTGAAATTTTCTTTGTATAATACATGTATAGTATTTATTTAACTATGTATAATATAATTGTACATACTTGCTGGAAGAAAAAAAGTGAACAATAAGGGTGTGTTTGGTATGAAGGAAAACATTTTCCGGAAAATGTTTTCCAATTTTCTCATGTTTGGTTGGGTTAAATGTTTTGGAAAATGTTTTCCAAATCAACTCATTTTCCTCAAATTTAAGGAAAATGACTTCCCTTCAAAACTTATGGAAAACATTTTCCAAAATTCTCTTCCAACTTCAAATTACAATTATTTTTTTGTTGAAAAAATCAATTTATTTTGTCCCTACCCTCAAACTTGCCCCCAACCACCCCCCACCCCCCTAAAAAAATAATTTTAAGTTTGTTTTCAAAAAACATTTTCAATTTCAAAATTTTATTTTTTTCACACCTACCCTCGACCCCCCCC